TTCGAACCAGGACCCACGGCTGGATTACTGTGTGAGCCGAATGCCCGCGTTAAATTATTGTTTCTATCTATTCACGTCAGGTTTAGGCACATTTCATCCATGACCATTTCCAGTCACGCTCATAAATCTCTCATTCGTTTGAAGCAACACAAACTTCGTTTTTTATTCTAGAGTTTTCAATCACTACAGCTACTGCAGTCCATTTTTTACAATGGGTGAACCGAAACTCTCCTGTGAGTAGTTTAGGCAGATATCAAAGTTGGAGGTTAGCCAGAGGAGGACAAAAACACTGAACCTTTTTGCCAAAATGATTTTCTATGCCTAATGGTCCCGATTAGGGTGTCAACCACGCGACTGAGTTCCACGAATAAATCATAGGCAGACTTTCTACTTTTAAATTATTCCCACTAGTCGTCATATGTACGTATTTACGTATTTCTACTTCAATGAATTTTCTATTGAAATTTTTAGAAGCTTTTCTAGACTGATTTCTGTCTTTCAATAATTTCTTTCAGATATACGATGTGCGTGTCGGCACTGTCGATTCAACAAATGCTTGGCCGTGGGCATGGATGCCAAAGGTACATTTTTAATCAAACAAAAATACATGCTAGAAAAACCGAAATCAATAGACAAGACTAGCATATGCTGAAAATGCCAAATGGCCGAATTGCACCTGCTGGCTCTCTCCGGGTTTCCTGAAATTTCCATCGTTCTAATTTCCTTGTGAGTCGGCTGTCCAGCAGGCAGCCTGTACAGATGTGGCAGTATAAAGGACATTCATTCATCTGTTAAAAACCGTTCTGCCGTTGACTTCTGGTAAAGGTGATAAGTACGCTCAGTTCACTGTAAGTACTGAGCGAAATTGGGGAGCTCTAGAACAGCTCTCATCATTGAGCTCCACACGTTACTCGATGGTTCGAACTCGTGAAATCCAATCCAAAACCAGCTGAGAAACCACAGCGTGCCATGCTTGCTTGGCGCTATGGTTAGCTTGCCTGCAAAGAAGATGTTCGAGTAAAAATACCTCATAGAACTGGGTCCTGTAGTACTCGTGGGGCTGAGGCGAAGAGCTTCATGTAGCATAGAGACCACTTGTAAGAAGTGTTTATCTTCTTCGGAGTAGTTAAATCTTGGGAACCCTACTGTCAACCTTTAGAGTATGATAATTGTAGCAAGGATTCCCTAACTTCCTTTAGTTTCACGATTTTTGATCTTTCTGCACGTAAACTTGTGATTTACAGCCATTCAAAATGATCGGGATCGTATTGGTCCAACAAAGAAGGCAAAGTTGAGTAGTGGATCAGATGAGGACCAAGCGATCACGCCTCATCGAATGCAAGATCAGGTAGATCAGTGAATCGATGATATTTTCTGCCAATTCAAATACATAAATTCTTTCAGAAGAAAGTTTTCAATTGGTTTAGGAAATCGTTGAGCACTTGACACAAGTGGAAGGGTTATGCCAAGAATTGCGGCGATGTGTGATGCGAGATGTTTCCACAGTTCAGCAAGCATTGTCTTCCCCTTGCCTACTGTTTGAAACACCTGAGCTTACTATAGATGTGAGTTTTGTAGAAAAGTTATAATAGCTATATAGCTGTCTGTCCTACCGTATGTCATCTTCAAATTGGGACCACCCTTAGCGAATCTTCCCAGCCGAGCAGGTAGCACCGACGCCCAGTTAACTACATTCCTACTATTTGTTACAGCACCATACTGGTAGCTTTATGTTCAGATGAATATGCATTTCAATCGATTCAAAGTATGAAATATGAAAGTGGTTTTGTTAGTGAGCCCTTTCTTGCCCATCATCATTAGGCGTTGATTGAAGCTCGCGATGAAAGTCACCGTGCCGCTGTGATATTTGCTGATACTTGGCTTTACACGTAAAGAGGTGTTATTTAATGAGTAATGTTTTTAATATTTTCGAGAATACCAAATTTTTCTCATTTGACGATCTTTCGCGGAGAATGGGTGTGGAAGTTGTACAGAAAGTATGCATAATGTTCTTCGAAGAGGAAATCGATCTGCATTGTTTTCTTCTGCTAAATGAAGATTTTAAATGAAATCTTCAGTATTTGGTCATAAACTCTGTGATTTTTCCCATCTATCGATGGCTTGGTTTGAAGCGAAACTTGCGATTTAAACTCACAAAGTATCCGGGTTTATCAGCGCTAAAACGTCGAAATATACGGTCAAATGAAATGAAATTGTAATATACGGTCAATTAGTGAAGGTTCCATCTGGCACCATCGTATGACAGAAGGAAGTGGCTTCTGACGCAAGTATCTTTGCCTCTTTTGAGACCCGAAAAGAAAAAGAAGTGTGCCATAGTGGCCAGAGGCGCAGTCTCACACACGCATAGTCCGTAGATCAAGACCCCGAAAAATACTTGCTCAGACCAAACGAACGTTCATCTCTCTGGGTCGGTTAGAAGGGACCTACTTGTGTGGTAGAATAGAACACAGACTCGTATATCGGCCGGCCACTGCGAGCTATTGTGCAAACTACATAGTCATTGAAACTGCCACTATGAATTTGAATGGAAGTCGAATGCTGGGGCGCAGCTCGAAGGGGTATCAAATAACGCCGAAGTAATATCTATCCTCATATCATAACTTCGATTACAATCGATAGAAGAGATTGAAATGTCGTCGCTAAACTCAAATCTGATCGAGTCAATCTTTTCCTCGTACACTCAGGCTGCAACCTGAGGCTCGCATCATAAGTGATTGTTAAATTTTCCCGAACTTTGGTTCTTTTTGCGGCTAAGTTTGACTCTGAGGTTCTTCATTAAAGTTTCCCATGGTTGCAAATAAGAAGGAGCACCTTTCCAACATAAAGATAAATGAAAAACATTATGAGTGCTATTTTTACTTCTTTTAGCCCAGTACAATTTTCAAAGAGCTGTATCCGGCTTCAATGAACGATATACGCATGTGGAATATTCGAGAAATGAGGATTTGCATTGAATGGGGCAAGACGTTCGACGCCTATCAGCGACTTTCACATTACGATCAAGTGAGTAGTAGACAGAACTTTTTTTGATTCAATTTGATATGTATCTCCTTCCACGACGTAAATTGATCCTGACCTCGTCACCCCTGATAAGATTTGAAAAAAAAATCAGATAAATAGGTTAATTACTGGTTATGTAGGCTATGGGCACATAGGCGTATGATGCATGACGTTGGTGGATGTGGGATCTCTGATCGAGCGTTTCCCGCGACTGGTTCCTTTGGACTTCCCGTCGCCGTGAAAGCTGAATAGCTTCCGGCCGTTAGGGGAAGTGGATGAGTGCAACTTAAGTCGCGGGGTACCAGCCATTTGAAAAAGGGACTGGCAGTCTCCCCCTTCTCCCACCGTCGGGCCGATCTTCGCCCTTTTCTCGCCTCGCACCTCCGAGCGCCATTTCCTGCGTGTGATTCATCATTAATGACCAAATAAGCGCTACTTGTGAAGCTTCATACCTGCCCCCATATTCCTTCGAGCCATGTATGGTAAGCGGAACTTCAGAACGATCCGCATTAGTGCTTACTTAATTAGTGGTTATCGGACGATTACTACTAAGTCGTGTTTATCGCGTGAAAGTTGTCTAAACCTAAGATCACCACAATCTACTCTATTTCCAATGGGACTAGGAACATGGGTAGAGTTACGATTGGATTTGCTTTTACGGATATCTGACTCTGAGAAATCAATCAAGTGGAATACGCTGTAAATGAGTACAGGATGGCTTACCTTCATGTTTCGAGCTAGCACAGTACACAATAATTTGGAGGTTCTCTTTTTTATTCAAAAAGCGGAAGTATAGATTGGGAGTAGTTACGGTAGTGAAGAAAGCGAGAGAATTCGTTAATTTTGAGAAAAATAAGGCTCCCCAAAAGTAAGGAAAATAAAGGTTGGACGAGATTACCATTACGGAAATAACATGGACGGGGTATTCGGACGAGTTTTCGGTCGTTTGAGCCTTTGTAGCTCCCTATTTAGGCCGTTTTCCGGCCTGATAGCGCCAGATATGGTATTCGAGGGGGCCACGAATTCATTCTATGTGGGAATCTAAGAAACCATTTATCATGAACTGCGCCTTTGAAATTTGCTCCTTTTCGAATCAGTAAAGTTGGCCAAGAATCGAAGAATGCTTTTCAGTTTGCATTGGTCCGCAATTTTGCGTTCGCATTCAATTTACTCAATAGAGTATTCTACTCGCCTGACCATGGACCCGATAAAATTGTGTTCCAAAATGGCGCGTTCATCATGCGACAGCCACAGCAACAGGTGATCCTTTTATCATTATACCTTTTGTTTGTTTGTTTATTTTCTTGTTATCATCCGCATCATCGGGAATCGAGTGCGCGACATCAGGCCAAAAAGCAGTCAAATTTTACCGCTTTACTAGCTTAACAAGATTTAATAGTATGCTAGATGAGACAGGAAAAACTTTCGACATGTTTTTCATAAACATCTTCCTACTATATTGCAGATTTCTAACGATATACTTGTATACGGTGCATCTTCAGGTACAACTCTCCGGTTGTCGTCCGATTTACACCCGACAAATGGACGAGATTATGCTGCCGTTCCGGAGGCTACAATTATCGGTCTCTGAGTTCGCCACATTCAAAGCGGCATTGTTTTTCAATCCCGGTACGAGTTTTGCCCAAATTTTTCTCCCGTGTCTGTTCACTGTCTTTGTGGTGATAGCCTAGTGCTACCTGTACAAATTGTATTTTTAGATGCATTAGATCTGTCGAGTCAAGCTAAGCCAGACGTGTATGAAGAGCGGAATAGGTATCTCAGTGCGTTATTCACATGTATCACGAATAAGCTCGGTATGGCTGCTGGTGTACAGAAATATGGTAGCCTTCTGATGATGACAGCTAGTATACAGGTAATTTTTAACTCGTTGCTGATTTCTTTTGTTGTGTTTCACGGTGCTGTAACTGTCGTATCGATGGCTTTTGTGTTTACCAAGTGGCGCAGATGTTTCAATGACAATGTAAGAGACTCTACGGATCACGTGAGCGGAAATTCTAGCCCTTCACTCAGTAATTTCAACCCAGGGTTTGAATTGCGCTCAGGGAAAAGGATGAATCACTAGCATGTATCTTCTTTCAAATATCTGCTGGATTTCTACTTACTAATTCAGCTTCACGAAGTTTTTGTGTAACCATGGCGGTTATTACTTTGAAGGCGTAGTTTACAATAAAAAAATTTCTGTGATTTCTGCCTAGGATGAACCTGTGACCCTCAAGGGTAGCCTAAGTGACGCAGTCGGGTCGAGAAACTGTCAGGATACTGCGTAATAGTAGCCCCCAAATCAAGCCGACGTGCACAACCATAGCGGGCGAGCCCTTAAGCATTGCAAAAGCTGTAAAGGTTGCACCATTCGCACCGGGACCCACGAATTGCACGCAGGCAGCTTACTGTAGCCAGCTCATGGCACACGGACAGCTCGTCCAAATACCCCTTCCATGCAGCTTTTGTCGCCATATTCTCGTCTAACCCCTGATTTTACTACTTTTTAAAGCCTAAAATTTCTCTCAATACGCCGGTCGCACGTTTTTTACGCCCTTTCGCACTGTTCTGGATTACCACTTCTCTATTCGTCTGAAAGTAGTCAACCCAAAGTTATCATGAGCGCTGTGCCATTGGTTACTTCACGGGGGAAGCGTATTTTTCTGTGTACTCAAAACTCCTTTTTCTACTTCATAGCGTTATTCCCACTCGGAAGGTCCTCTGTTCTTGTCATCCGTGTGCTGTTTTTTTCTATCTACGGCATTTCTGCGTTTCTTTAGCTCCTACAAAGTACTTCTTGACCACACCCCGCCACCTGTTCTTTGTGGCTCCTCGTAGGCTATCCTGAGCCTCGAACACCATTGCCTCCCCAACTTTTCTGACTACTCCAAGCGTTTGTATTAGACTGTAGCTGCATGGTCTTCAAAATGAGTTATATTATAGGCCAGGTACCTGAGTATTTTATGGTCTACGTATAATTGAAAGATAATCCTTTTTGCTGATAAAAAAAAGATATTTACCAAAATTATACGCACTTACTTAGTCAACAACCTGGTAATTCTTCGTTGCTCCCGCTTTTTTGCACTTGGATATTTCTCAATAACTCATGTAAC